ATTAACTTTCAATTCTGGAGATCCGAGTCTGAAATGGGTCTCACTGGGCTACCCTCAGGGTGTCGGCAGGGCTGCCTTTCCGGAAGCTGTATGGGAGAATGAGTCTCTTTGCCTTTTGCTGTTGTTCGAGCCTGCTAGTATTCTGTAGCCCCTTCCTCCATCTTCAAAGTCAGCAGTGACTGGCGAAGCCTTTCTCACATCTCATCACCCTGACTGTGCCCCTCCTGCCTCCCTCTTCCAGTTATAAGACACTTGTAGTGACACTGGGCCCACCTAGATAATCCCTCCATCTCCAGATCTGCTTTTTGGTAACCTTAATTTCATCTGCAAACTTCATTTCCCGTTGCCATGTGCCAATGCTGTATTTGCAGGTTCCAGGGATTAGGATGTGGGCATCTCTCAGGGTGCCGTTATTATACCAACCACAGGGGGAAACCAGAGTCTGATCGAGTTCAACTCCAACATATTCTCCAGCAAGCCCAGGCCTCTCTGACCCTCCAAAACTAAATTAAGGGACCCTGCTTGGTGGACCCATGGGGTTACCTCCATCACTCTTCCTCCAGTGTTGTGCTTGTTCACTCATCTGTATCTCTGAGGATAGAAACTGCCTTTTTCACTCTTGATTGCCTGTTTCTTCACGACAAGGTAAGCACCACATGGCCAGGGGTCTTTGTTGGTTTTAGTATAGATAAAAAATAACAACGTAAATAAAGCCTTCAGCCATTAATAGTAATTTATATAGACAGAGGATGCCAAAAAAATGTATACACATTTTAAGACAGGAAAAGGCTATTAAAATTGTAATACTCAATATATACCAATAACAAAAGATGAATATAAGTCATGTTTGACTTCTGCAGTTACAAGAGGTGCTCAAAGTCGTTACCATCAACATCCAGATACTTCTGGTTACTGCGAACTACTGCGTGAGCAACATTGATCGAAGTGTCCACTTGTATACATTTTTTTGGCGTGTATACACACACACACACACATATGTGTATGGTTGTCAGAAAAGTCATGATGTATTTTTTTTATATTTTTCATTGCAAAAATGCTTCATGACGTTTCTGACAACCAAATATATGTATACATATGGCATGGTCTCTAGCACAGAGTAGATGCTTAATGACACTGCTGTTACTATTACTCTGCTAATAATATTTATTGAGTCCTACTCTGTGCCAGGCACTGTGCAAAAGACCTTACATACATTATCTTATCTGACCCACACAACTCATGAGGAAGGAGCTGCTTTTTCTCCTTCCTATACAGAAGGAAACTGAGGATTAGAGAAGTTAATTAATTTGCTCAAAGTCAGTTGGCCTAAAAGGGAGTTTAACTTGTATTTAACATCATATCCCTCTGCATATGCTAAATGAAATAAGTCAGACAGAGAAAGACAAATACTGTATGTTCTCATTTATATGTGGAACCCAGAACACCAAACTCATAGAAACAGAAGTAGAATGGTGGTTGCCCAGGGCTGGGGGGTGGGAGAAATGAGATGTTGGTCAAAGGGTACAGACTCCCAGTTTTAAGAAGAATAAATTCTGGGGATATAATGTACAGCATGGTGACTATAGCTAACAATACTGTGTTATATTATTGAAAGTTGCTAAGAGAGTATATCTTAAATGTTCTCAACACACACACACACAGACACACACACACACAACTATGTGAAGTGATGGATGTGTTAACTAACCTTATTGTGGTAAACATGTCACAATATATACATGTATAAAGTCATCACATCGTATGCCTTACATGTACACAGTGTTATTTATATGCCTTTATATCTCAAAGAAGCTGGAAACATTTTTTTTAAACTTTATTGGGGAACAGTGTGTTTTTCCAGGACCCATCACCTCCAAGTCAAGCCGTTGTCTTTCAATCTAGTTGTGGAGGGCGCAGCTCACTGGCCCACGTGGGAATCAAACCTGCAACCTTGATGTTAAGAGCCTGCGCTCTAACCACCTGAGCTAACTGGCTGCCCCTGGAAACAATTTTTTAAATATCATATCCCTGTGACACTCAAGCTTCTTCTACTTGTGGTTTTGTTGAGAGGCACTGTACGCCCTCTGGCTTACAATTGCAAGGGAAGGAGTGCCAACCTCTGCCTTGATATACAGAGGGTATTCCCTGTTTACAACCACCTGAAGTTCAAGCAGTCAGGGAGTGTGCATCTCTCTCCTAGAGAATGGGAGTCATCTGTTTAACGTGAGCACGGTCCCCAGGAGAACTATAGGCACATTTGCCAGAGAAATGGGAAGACTTCTGCAGAGGAACAATTTGGGTTACCTGGGGACCACTAAGCCAAGCCTTCAGCAGTGACAGTAGATATTGTCCTAGATCAAGGACTTAATGTATGACAGCATTAGTGATGCTTTCTCAGCCTTCCCTTTTGACCCCTGCCTTCACACCTGGGGTGTCAGGATCTCATCAGAAAGTCAAGTGGCTTTTTTAGCTGCGGGGGTAAGGCAGCAGCCCTGTGGTACTGCCAACTTGGTACTTATCTTGGGCCAACTCTCCGGACAAAATGTGGGTCAGACTGGCCTGGCTATAGAGTGTTCGCCAATGTATTCAAGATGGAACAGCTATCTTTACTCTCAGGTTACAAAAACACAGGATTTACTTGGGAATGTTTGCTAAAGGCAGCAGGATGCAAAAGGAAAAGTCAGTAATAGGTTTGTTCATTCATTCATTCAACAAACGCGCCCCTATGCCAGGCTCTGTGCTAGAGGCTGGGGATTGTCCTGGAGGGCTGGGACAGTGTATCAAAAGAGTCTCCCAGCACCTACCACTTAGCACAGTGGCTAAGTGCACAACAGGCAAAGCAATAAGAATGGGAGATACAAAGACGGATTGTAGCAGCAATTGCAAAAGGATGTGAGAAGACTCAGGATTTGGAGCTGGGTTAAGCTACCTGGGAGGAGCAATAGCAGGAAGGCAGGTCACAAGGACATGCACAGAAGACAGTGGGCAGTGTGGCAGGGCTGCTCTGGAGTGAGGCATTTGGATTTTACGGAGTGCGTGAAGAGCCCCTGCAACTTTGTTGTTTTGCTTTAAACAACTTTATTAAGGTATAACTTACATATCATAAAATTCACCCATTTTAAGTGTACTTGGTCAATGATTTCTAGTAAATTTACCGAGTTGTGCAACCTTTCCCATCCTCCAGTTTTAGAACGTCCTCACCACTCCACCAAGATCCCTCATGCCCATTTACAGTGAATCTCCATTTTCACCCCCAGCCCAGGCCACCACTGTTTTGTTTTCTGTCTCTGTGAGTTTACTTTTGCAGGAAATTTCATACGCATGAAATCATACGATACATGGCTTTTTGGGTTTCTTTCACTGAGCATAGCGTTTTTGAAGTCCATTCGTGTTGTAGTGGGCATTAGTATTTTAAAGCTTTCTGTAGCTGAACAGTGTTCAATTGTACAGTTGCAATTGTACAATTGTACAATTGCATTTCATTTACCCACCCGTTGATGGGCATTTAGGTAGTTTCCACTTTGGGGCTATTATGAATAATGCTGCTATCAACATTCTTGTGTAGAAGTCTATTCTCTTGGGTAGGTACTCAGGAGTGGAATTGTTGGGCTGTATGGCACATTTACTGTTAACTTTTGGGGGACTGTTCTTAATTATTTTTATTTCTTTTTTAAAAGCAGTTTTATTGAGATATAATTTGTCTACCATAATATCCTCCTGCTTTAAGTATACAATTCAATAAATTTTGGTATATTTACAGGTTGTACAATCACCACAATCTAATTTTAGAACACTCGGATCATCCTGGGAAGAAATCTTGTCCTCATTTATAGTTGCTCTACATTTCCACTCCCAGTCCTAGGCAACCTCTAATTTACTTTATGTCTCTACATATTTGCCTTTCTAAACATTTCATATGAATTGGATCATATAATATGTGGTCTTTTGTGTCTGACTTCTTTCACTGAGTGCGGTATTTTAAAGGTTCATTCATTTTGTACAATGTATCAGTACTTCACTCCTTTTCATTGTCAAATGATGTTACATTGTATGGATATGCCCTATTTTGTTTACCCATTCACTGGTTGATGAACATTTGGATTGTTTCCACTTTTTGTCTAGTGCGAATAATACTGCTGTGAACATTCACGAATAAGTTTTTGTGTGGACATATGTTTTCATTTCTTTTGGGTAGATACCTAGAAGTGAAATTGCTGGGTTATTAAAGTTACATAGGTTTCAGGTGTACAATGTAACTGTATTAACAATTGTCACCCCAATAAACTTTAATTTTTTAAAGAAAAGAAATTTCTGGGTTATATATAGTAAGTATATATTTAACTCTTTAAGAAACTGCAAAACTGTTTTCCAAAGTGACTGCACCATTCATTTACATTCCTATTGGTAATATATGAGGGGTCCAGTTTCTCCCTATTCTTGCCAACACTTGTTATTGTGTCTTTTGAATTATAGCCGTTCTATGTGAAATGATAGCTCATTGTGGTTTTGAGTTGCATTTCCGTAATGACCAGTGATGCTGAACGTCTTTAAATGTGCTTATTAGCAATGCATATATCTACTTCGATGAGATGTCTGTTCACATCTTTTGCCCATTTTAAAATTGGGTTGTTTGTTTTATTATTGTATTGTAAGAGTTCTTGATGTACTCTGGATATATTTTCAGATATGTGATTTAAAATTGTTTTCTCCCAGCCTGTGGCTTATCTTTTCATTTTCTCAGTGGTATCTGTGGAAAGACTTTTCAGGAGAAAAGGGACAAGACGGAGCTGTGCTTCAGAAAGTTTGGCAGCAGTATGTGGGATGGATGGCAAGGGACAGAGAACTCTGTTTTAATACACCTCTTTAAATTGTAACCTAGGGAAGAAGCATAGGCCAAGTTTCTCAAAATTCTCTGGGAATCAAAGGGTTATAAGCAGCTATTTATTGAGGCCTGTTTACAGTCCAGTTAATGGGTAAACCAGAATCAGTGAAACTACTCAATTTGGGGAAGTGCAAAAACCTTTCAAAAGGGTTTCCTGCCGTTAGGAGAGGCAGAGGAACGGGGGACGAGAGATGAGTATTCCAGAGCTACGTGAATAATTTCTAGCTTCTGACGGGACGGTTCCGAACGCCCTTCCCAGGTGCTCTCACTCTGGTGTTCACAGGCGGGAAACTAGGAACAGCTGGTTCCCAGCCCTTGGGTTTTGACTGGCGAAGAAGCCAGGTTGTTGGGACAGGTGGGGCCCATTTCAGTGGTTTTCTTTGAAAAAGCCCAGCAAGATGTCAGGCCTGCTCTCAATCTTCCTCCGCCTCCTCCTTCTCTTCAAGTTGGTTGCCCCGGTGACCTTTCGCCACCGCCGCTATGATGACCTCGTGCGGACGCTGTACAAGGTGCACAACGAATGTCCCTACATCACGCGGGTTTACAGCATCGGGCGCAGTGTGAAGGGGAGACACCTCTACGTGATGGAATTCAGCGACTACCCCGGAATCCACGAGCCCTGTAAGCCCTGAGCGGTTCTTGGGAGTGTATACGGCAGGACCGTTCCCTTACAAATCCAGTAATCGTGGTGGCTTCTGGGGGAGGTCCACGGGCGCCTCCACCTGTAAAGTATCACCTCTTTCTCGGCCTGTGCTAAGTATTTCCCTACTTAGTCCTCAAACGACCCCTGCCTCTGGGGGGCTGCAACCCCAGTTCAGGCTCCAGGCCGTTACTCTTTGTTGGCTTCTGGTTGCTCAAGACCTTAATCGTAAAAGATGGGTCTCCTTCCCTGTTCCCATCCTATCCCCTTACTTCCCTCCTATTACCCACCCCCCATCCCTCTGCTGCTATTCTGTCTTTCCTTATCCAGTACCTCAGGAGACATAAACAGAAACCATTAACCTTTCTAGCTCTGTCAGGAACAAGGGATATATTTTTATGGAATGACTATTGGGTAGAGAAAAGTATCCTGGAGAGGGTTTGAGGTCTGGGGTATGAGTTTTATTCACTGGGTTATGTTTTTTGTTAGTGTGTTTCTATTGGAAGAGCAATTGGTGTTTGGATGAAAATTAGAAATTAGAGAAGGAAAACAAACTCACTCATAATCCCCCCACCACCACAGGTGACTATTGTTAACATATTGCTGTATACCCTTCCAGACTTTATTCAAGGTGTATTTAACCTCGCTTACACACACACACATAACTTCTTGTGTAAAATTGGAATCGTACTATAACTGCATTTCTCATTTCATAGCCTTTCATGAACGGCATCATGTCTGTAAATGTAGATCTACATCATTATCTTGGCAGCATAATATCTCATGAATGGTTGTATTTAACTGTTTATTGATAGATGGACATTTACGTTGTCTCTCATTTCTCACTGCTTTCCTTATAGCAATGGTAACATTCAAGTTATATGACTTCCTCCTTTAAACAGTCAACTTCAGACCTCTCCTATCCTTCCCACTTCCACGCCCTCCACCTCAGCCCAAATGCCATCACCGCCTGCCTAAATTATTGCTCTAGGCTCCTCACTGACCTCCTAACTCCCGACTGCTACCACTGAACCTCCCGGTTAGCACAGAAATGTCAGAATAATTTTCCTAAATATTGATATACTCTCCTCAATCCCTTGCTTGAAAACCTTCACTGACGACCTCATGTGCAGTGGATTCTGTCCATGATAGCTTCAGAATATCACACGGTGAGTGAGGAGGGTGCAGTGTGGGAGGTGGGTCACGGAAGGCTATGTGGTTAAGTGTGGACCAGGGCCTTGCTTTGAGCTGTATTTGCATAGCAAGCACCTGCTTTTACTCACGTTGTGTGTTCACTGTGGAAGCTTGTGGGTGCCACTGGACATTATAGGGTTAGCCTCTCACTCCATGCCCCCTTCTTGGGGCCCCCTCTACTTTCTCACATTCAAGCCTTTCTTGAAACTGTTTCATACTATTTAGCCCTCACTGATCCTCCTTTTCACTAATGCCTATAATTTAGCTGGTCATCCATTCACTCCTTTCATTCATTATTAATCCCATAAATATAACTGATTATCTACTCTATTCAAGCACCTTTTGTAGGCTCTGAATGTACAACAGAGAATAAAACAAAGACCCTGCCCTCAGGGGCTTAACTCTAGCTGGGCAAGCCTGGCAATACATGGGTAACTAAATAAATATATATTATATCAGATGAAAACAAGTGCCCTAGAGAAAAATAAACCAGGAAGGAGACACAGGGAATGCCATGGAGGACGGTGGATTGAGCGGGGGCGGGGATAGGAAAAGCTTCTCCGTAAGGTGATTTTGGGGCATGCAAATGGAGCGTTCCATACTGACATGGGGGAGGAAAACGCTGCAGGCAGAGAGAAGAGCAGGAACCTGCTTGGCATGTGTGAGGAACAGCAAGGAGGCCCTGCAGCTCCAGCTGAGTGAACAACGGGAGAGCAGTATGGTCAGGGAAACTGGGCAGGAAGAGATCCAACAGGGCATTATATATGCTTTTGTTAAGATTTTGGCTTTTCCTTTGAGTGAAGTGAGAAGCCACCTGGAGGGTTTTATGCAGAAAGTGTGACATGATCTGACTTAAAAATTTAAAAGATCACTCAGAACAGGGGTCAGCAAACTATAGCCCTAGAGCCAGTTACCTGTTTTGGTAAATAAAGTTTCTTTGAAACAGTCCCACCTATTTGTTTTTGTATTGTCTATGGTTACTTATGGTGACAGAGACAATATAGCCCACAAGCCCAAAGTATTTACTATCTGGTCTTTTACAGAAAAAAGTTTGCAGACCC